ATTATGTGGACTAAAGTTGTTCCATCGTCATAGGTTCGAATGTTTACTACTTTAGGCGCATTTTGAGGAAATTCAGTATTTGTTGTATTTTCAGTGTAGTTAAAGAAGTTCAATTGTGATTGCTGTGATATCGTTGACTTTATGAATGAGTAAAGTGATATTAGGAATAAGCATTGTGCTGTAAGATTGTAATATAACTTCATTGTGATGCTTTTATTGCCTGATTATTAGAACTTTTATGTGTTATAAAAAACACTAAAAACCGATTAGGTACAATAATGAAAAAATCGCGAAATGATGGTTTATCTAAATAGTCTAACACTTAAGCTAAACATAAATAAAAAAAAACTATCTAGAACAAGATTCAAGAGGTTTGAACCAAATACTATTTATATAAAGTCTGATATTCTTTACACTAAACATTTATAGAGAATCAAATGAAACCCCGATAATATTTAAAGGATATACGGATATACTTCTTCAATGGGATACTATATACAGTGCTATATGGTATTTTTTACGAAATACCCGATCACAATATGAGTGCTGCCAAGAGAAAACCTGTAAATCTTATTAGATAAGATTTGCGGGTTTCTCTTGGCTGCACTCATATCATAGCCACGAGCATTTTTATTACAATAACCATATTCATTAGTAACCTAACTTGCATATACAAGAGTCTCTTCTTAATGACAAATAAATTTCATATCTATGTCCTAATGGGAATATAAAGATAGAATATTTTTTATATGATAATATATAAATCTCATTTTTAAAAAAATTTGTAAGGAAATCAGAAATCAGAAGTTAATCGATTTCTTTAATGAATTGCAAAATTCACAAATTCTGAAAATCGCAATAAATTGGAGAATTAATAAAAAAATGTTATGCTAACCTTAATCTCAATCTAGTTCTAATCCTAATAAGGAAGCTTGAAAAATGGGAATCATTTGATAAACCATTTTAAGTTCTAATAAAAAACGGGATTACTTCCAAAAAGGTAATACATATTTGTCACATGTAAATTTTTTACTTATGGGTCAAATGATCGACGCATCTAAATTTTATATGAAAATTTTGCTTTTTAGGCTTATTTAATTATTACCTAGACAACATACATTGTAAAAAAATTGGCAAACTTCGTAGCCCAAATCCTTCTCAAGTTTATTTTAAACCATTCTTAAAATTTTGTGAGAAGAACCTCCAAATGCTAGAGAAGTTGCAAAATGATACCTAGAAATTAAATTGGCAACTTCTTTTATTAAATGAGACTAAAAAGCAAATTTTCCTAAATTTTACATATAAAATTTGCCTGATATAGTTTGTATTACAAACGCAAATAAGTATACGCGGACAACACGGATCGGGTACTGTTACATCCAAACTACCTCTTATAAACTTAATATAACTAATTA